TCGTACAGCCCCTTTCATCCTACCGTCCTCGCATGTAAAGGTGAATTTCGAGTTTAGGATCTGAAAAGGGCTCTACGAGAGCTCGACACTCTGCAACACACAGTAGGATCTAGGCGGATCTAAGCGCATTTTAGTTGAGGCTGTCGGGGCGCAGCTGTCTCCGACAGTCTAGACTGTTCACGGTTTGAGGCATCTAAACAATCACGAACCGGGTCCGCCAACTGCTGCCCACTAGGGCTCGGACGGCGGCGTCTGAGGGTGGATAACCGCAGTAAGAAGTTCGCAAAAGTGGTTCGCTGCAGTGGGAGAGCGCAGTGGTTCGCTGCTGTGGGAGAGCGTACGGAGATCTGCTCAGGGATATTCTCGCCCACGGTGGATCTCAGCCGTTGGTGAACGGACTGAGGCCTGGCGGGGCTTGTGGGCTCGCGAGTTGGTGCCGGCGAAAGGAGGTGGCTACTCGACCGGTTGNCGCGTCTCCGACAAATCTCGGCGCGTTGCTGTGGCGGGGCGCTTCACGGTGGATGCTAGTCGAAAGAGAGGAGGGCAACACTGGTACTGCAATTCGTCTGATGCGTGCGACGGGCGGACATCGGCGGTAGGAAGGCTTCTCGCGGTGGTGGACGGACGTCAGCGGCCTTCTCGCGGCGGCGTGCTTCTCCTCGGCTGGGCCGTTCGACTGCGCGCGATGGGCCGTTGCGAGACGCCGACGGTTGCTGATGGATGGCAGCGGCTAAGGGTTCGCCGGCGAGGAGGGATTTTCGGGAGAAAATCGAGGGAGGGGAGGCGATTTTTCGATCTGATTTTGGCCTAAGGAGATCGAATTTTGGGAGACCAATTTGGGCTGGAAACGCGTCAAATGAGAAGAGAAAAGAAAGGATTTGTACGGGTTTTGGGGGATTTAATGGGCCAAAACTCTTTAAGCTTATTGGGCAGAAAATGCAAATGCAGAATAAAATGGGCCGGTTTTACATGGTTTAACTCTTGGATTTGGGCCAATAAATTGCAACACTTAAACCGAAATCTACAATTAAACTGGGCCGGAT